AAAAAAAAAAAACAGAAACTTCTACATTTACCACCATCAAATCAATTTTACTGCAGCTCGTAAGTTGAGAAGCTGAATCCCGACCGTCCATCGTTAGTTGATTTTAGTTCCAGCTTTTGAAAGGGGCTATGAAAAAATTAGATTGATCAGATTATTAACGTAAATTGCGGTGGCAAGTTAAAGCACAACACGATTAATGGAAACAAACTTAAAGGATTTGAATCGGGGCTTGAAGGGTTTTTTGGTCTTTATCAGGCCATCACGATAAGAAACAGGCTAGCCCAATAAAGCACGATCATTTTTTGTAATTTTTTAGGCATTTTAAGATATATAGGCCTAACAAGTTTGACGAAATAAACGGTTTTGCTTATAGAGCATATCATAATATTGTGCAGTGCTTTTACAATGGCCAGACACAAACAATTTGCCACAACTAATTGCAAGAAATTAAAGCAAAAACGGATAGTAAAATGGCTTTACCTGCTGTTAGGATCGTAATAAAAGCCATTAATGGATCCATCACTACACGAGAAGCAAACATAGTAAAAGCCCGCAATTGTCAGCCCACAGTCGGTCCCGACGTTCACAAAGTACTGCTCTTTCCACCTCTACACAAAATTAAATTGGGAAAAAAAAATGATTATATTTAAATATAATAGCATGATTTCAAATTATGAGGGGGATAAGGATACATATATTATTCCCACCATAAATATATAAGGATAGTTACTCAAGTCCAGGGATTTTCCTCCATCGGCTTCCACTTGGCTCTAGGAAAACGATGAAGACTAGTTAAGGTTTTAAATTGTAATAAAGCACTTAAACAGTCTTAACCTAAGAGGAGTGTTGCTTAGAGTTGTAAACAAATCAAACATTTTCGATTCGATTCGTGATTCAAATTTGGTATTCGTGATTCGTATTCGTAAAAATTTGAATTCGAGTTCGAATAAGAATAGCGTTTAGTATTCGAAATCTATCGACTCTGAATCCGAATATGCACGTACCTGATTCAAAATTATCGAATATTCGATTCGTTAATAATAATTATATATAATTTAATCTATTATATATAATATTATTTATATAATATATCTAAATATATTAAATATAAAAATAAAACACAAAAGATATATATTATATTTAAAAATTATAGAAATATAAATAATATCTGAAAACGAATTTCAATCGAAACGAGTATATTCGATTATCTTAATCGAATCGAATACGAATCACAAATCAAATTAGAATCGAATACGAATACGGATAGTGGAATATTTTCACAAATTTGAATCGAATAGTTGAGTATTCGCTTCGATTCGATTCGTTTACAACCCTAGTGTTGTTAATGTTCACCAATAGAGGAGGGAATGAGGGGAACTGTGTCCAGTGCTTCACGTCGTCATCTACCCTGCACATTAATTTGAAAAACAAATTACAAATGTTTGGACGTCCGAATAAATATCTGCATATTTCTTTTCGTATCGTGCACACATTTTTTACCCTCTGCAAATGACAAGGATTTGATTAAAGAAACAATAAAAAAGAACTTACGTTGCTCCCCACTTCCCAGTGAAGAAAGTATAATTCTTGGTATCCACAATTTCTCCTTCCCAGAAAGTAACAACCTGAAATATATGTGTAAAAAGGAAAGGAAAGAACGAAAGAATTTTAGTAGAAAGTAAGATAAACAAAGGAAAGAACGAAAGAATTTTAGTAGAAAGTAAGATAAAACAAATGATTGAAAAAAACAATGTGAGACTTCAGAGTTCATACTGGTGTATCTGCCATGGGAACATTAAGAGCTTCCATTGTGCCACAAAGGTAGCCATGATCAAGATCACATCCTTGAATCCGCACGTTCACTCTCCATGCTTCATCTTTCTGTAAGCTCGAAACATTTTGAGTCCCCGAAAAAGACTGTAATATCAAACATTTGGTGTGAGCACAAGTCAAAAAATTGTCGTACCGAAAAAATTGGGACACTGCAGGCACTTAATAAAGCAAGGTTGCATTCAATGGCGAATTACGAATTCATGAAAATTAATGGTATTACCCTACAAAAGTATCAACTAGAACCTTTTCCGCCACAAAAATCTAAAGTAAAAAATGCAGTAATCGGAGTACAATTTTTCAAAATAAGTTAACAACACTATCCAATTAGAAAATGAAAGATAGCCTTCTTATTCCTAAAACACTTATTCAACTTTGATTGGATTCTCAGAAAAACGATAACCGAGTAGCTAGCTCCAGAGTAGCCAAAATCATAAAAAAAAAAATAAATAAATAAAAGAAGTTCATGCACTGAACGGTAAGTAATCAGATGAAAAATGGTAGAATTACCTGCCCAACACTTAAAAGAGTACAAGGCTGCGGCAAAGTGTTCCCTGATGAAGTCCCTTCAAAATGGTAGTAAACCGTAAATCTTAGTACCGATCGTAAAATGAATAACAACCCAAATATGTTCCATATTCCCAGTATTCCATATCAAGACTAGAAGGAGAAATAAACAAATCAAGCCAAGCAAAACCAAACAAACCCAAAACAGAACTTAAGAATTGGGGAAAATGCAAGATTGTTTTCAATAACCCAACAACAAAGAGCTTAGTGGCTACAACAACCCAACAACTCCCTTGCAAAATAACTTCAATCCCCATAATCTCAGGTCAGACAGAACATTGAGAAACACTACAAAAGCATGAAACCCATATCGTTTTTACTCATGTAACAGACAATCACATGCCTTCGCAAGCAGGGAGAACGATGAAAATCAAGTTTCAATCAGCATTTCAAAAATTTCGTCCTCAAAACACAGGCATTTTCTTGCTCGATTAAGGAAAATTAAGGAAAAACAATCAAAGTACCTGAGACTTGTGATGGGGAAGAAGCCTCCGCTACTCTCACAGGCATTTTCTTGCTCGATTATTTGATAGGCTTTTGTTGGGATTTCTTCAAGGCTCCACAATCGATTTCAAAAACCCTAAACCCGTAGTTTTTCTCGCTCTCCTTTTGATCACTTTCGGTCACAGCACGAGTCTTCAAAAACGTTATATAGGTGCACAAGTGACACGACTCACATAATTATATTATTATTGTTGTTATTATTATTATAAAATCCTAACTTTTTGTATAATTGCAAATAAAACTCAACTTTTTCAATTTGGTAAAAAAAATACCAAACTTTTAATAAGTATTGCAATTGTGTTTCAAAATCAATTCCCGGCCATACCAAATCTTGAATAAGATGAACGGAAAGTCGTCGCTGGAAAAAGTCATCGGTTCCGGCAAAGGTATGCGTCACTAGATGCGGATTTGCGAGAGGTGTTCAACGGTAACTTGGGATTCACATGGGTCAAAGCGAGTCACCGGGAATTTGCGAAAGAACGCCGGAGAAAATTTGAAGATCTACGATTTTGACCGAAAAATTGGAAGCCTTATCATCGGAAATTTTTCCGTGAACTCGGATATGTTGTCGGCACGGAGGAGAGCTACAAGATCATGTAAAAAATTTCAACATCCGGCGAAGTTGGCTGACAGCGGGTGGCGGTTGCCGGCGGTCTGGCGAGTGAGATACAAATTGCAATACTTATTAAAGATTTAGTATTTTTTTACTAGATTGAAAAAGTTGAGTTTTGTTTGCAATTACACAAAATGTTAGGATTTTAAATGCAATTAACCCTATTATTATTATTATTTAACTTTTTGGGGGAAGTATAAGTGTAAATGCCTGAAACCAAACTCAAACCTCTAATATTCGAACTCGAGGAACCTTTATCAAGTAGGGCTCGGCTCGTTTAGCAAATGAGCCGATAAATGAGCTCGAGTTCAACTTGTTCATTAATATTACCAAGCCAAATTTGAGTTCCAATGAATCAAGTCCGATAAAAAC